AGGAAGGGAGAGAGATAGAGAGCCAGAAACATCGATGAGAGAGAAACATCGACCAGCTGCCTATGTACATGCCCTTGACCGGAATTGAACCTGGGACCTTTCAGTCCGCAGACCGACGCTCTACCGCTGAGCCAAACAGGTTTCGGCCCAATACCATTTCTTGAAGAGATTGTATTTACTCTATTGTATGTTCTTGACTCTTTTGTCAAATATTAATTGACCATAATGGTGTGAGTCAATTTCTGGGGTCTCAGTTTTGTTCCATTGTTCTCTATGCCTGTTCTTGTGATATTACCAGGCTATTTTGAAAGAAAGCATACTTTGTATGGTTTCAATCCTTTTTAAATTAATTGAAACTTGTTTTGTGACCTAGCATATTGTATATTTTGGAAAATATTCTGTGTGTATTTGGAAAAAAAGTGCAGATTATGAGTGAAGTGTTTTATAAGTGGCAGGTATAGTTGGTGGACAATGTTTCTTCCCCTCCTTTCAGTTTTATTGACATACTAGAGGCCTGGTGCATGAAATTTGTGAACGGGTAAGGTCCCTAGGCCTGGCTGGTGATCAGGGCCAATCAGGTTTCTTGCCTCCCTGCCTTCCCGCTTCCCGGCCTTCCCACCTCCTCCTTCCCTCACTCCCTCAGAGCCCCACTGCCATTGCCGCTGGTCGCCATGTTCTGTACTGCCCCCTGGTGGTCAGTGCACATCATAGCAAGTGGTTGAACTCCAAGTCTCACAGTTGAACTCCTGAGGGGACACTTTGCATATTAGCCTTTTGTATATGTATAGTAGTGGCCTGGTGTATGAAATTCGTGCATGGGGGGTGGGGTTTGTCCCTCAGCCTTGCCTACACCCTCTCTAATCTGGGACATCTCTCCCATAATCCAGAACCACTGGCTTCTAACCACTCATCTGCCTGTTTGCCTGATCACCTCCAACTGCCCCCTCCCCCCCGCCATCCTGATCGCTCCCAACTTACCCCCCTGCCTGCCTGATTACCCCCAACTGCCACCCTCTGCCAGCATGCTTGCCCCCCAACTGCCCCCCCCCCCGTCACCCTGCTCACTCCCAACGCCACCCCCTGCTAGCCCCTAATTTCACCTTCCCTCCTCCCCCCACTGGCCTGCTCACACCCAACTGCCCCCTCTGCTGGCCTGCTCACCAACAGCTGCCCTCCCGTGCCAGCCTGATTGCCTCCAACTGCCCTCTCCTGCTGGCCTGATCACCCCTAACTGCCTCTGCCTCAGCCCCACCACCATGGCTTTGTCCCAAAGGACGGCTGAAAGGTCTCTTGGTCCAACTAGCATATTATCCTTTTATTAATATAGATAACGTAATTGACAAACTTTCTGCTATTGTGAAAGTGTATGTTGTGAGGATTTGATATGCACACACACTGTGAAAGAATGCCTCCCACTTAGTTAATTAACACATGCATCGCCTTTTGTTTGGGACACTATTAAGTTCTTTCTTAGCAAATGCCAAGTTCAGGCACACAGTGCAGTGTTATCAGCTACAGTCAACATATCCTGCATTAGTTCCTCAGACCTTATTCATGTTATAGAAGAACTTTTGTACCCCTTCACCAATTTCTCGTTATCTTGACTCCCAAGTCCCCGGCAACCACTCTCTACTCTGTTTCTATGGGTTTCTCTTTTTATTTAGGTTGCGTAGTAAAGTGATATTACTTAGTGTTTGTCTTTCTTTGTGTGGCTTATTTCACTTAGCATAACGCCTTCCACGTAGCTGTTGTAAATGGCTAGATACTGTTGTTAAAGTCTTTTAGATCCTTGCTGGCTTTCTGTCTAGTCATTCTGTCAGTTATTGAGAATGGCTTAATAAGTATATCTAACTTAATGTTGAATGGTCTGTTTTCCAATTGTGTTGTCAGTTTTTGCTTCCTATTTTTGGGGGCTTTGCTGTTTGTTGTGTATACATCTAAAATTGTATCCTTTTTCATATATCGATCTTTTAATTATTAAGGAAATATCTTATTGTCTATTAATATTTTTTTGTCTTAAAGTCTATTTCAGCTGAGAGTAATATAATCACTATGTTCTTTTAGGGTTATTGTTTGTATGCTATATCTTTTTCCATCCTTTCACTTTCTGTGTTTTTTAAAAGATAATTACTTATTGTTGAATGTATTACATATGTTCCCCTTTTCTCCCCATTGGCCCCCTGCAGCCAGTCCCTGCCCCACCACCCCTTTTGGATTACGGTGTGTCTTTTATAGACAGCATATAGTTGGGTCTGTTTTTATCCAGTTTGTCAGTCTCTGTGTTTGGTCCATTAATATTTAATGCAGTTGTAATATGGTTGTATTCATGAGTAGCCATTTTGCTATTTGTTTCTCAATGTTTCACATCTTTTTTTCTTCTTTTCCCCTTTTACTTCTCTCTTTATGAGTCAAATATTTTTTAGGATACCATTTAAAAAATTTTTTAAAATTCAATTACAGTGTGCATTCAATATTATTTTATATTAGTTTCAGGTATATAGCATAACTTAGGATATCATGTTAATTCATTTTTTAAAAAATTTCTTTATTGATTAAGGTATTACATATTTGTTCTCAACCCCCCATTCCAATCCCCCACCCCTCACCACTCATGCCCTCACCTCCCTATTGTCCTTGACCACTGGTTAGGCTCATATGTATGCACGTAAGTCCTTTGGTTGATCTCTCCCTTTTATCCCCACCTTCCCTTTGAGGTCCAACAGTCTGACCCATGGCTCCTTATCTCTGGGTCTATTCTTATCCATTAGTCTATGTTGTTCACCATTTACCCTTAATTCATTTTGATTAAAAATATAGCCCAGACTTGTGTTGCTAAGTGTTGGAGTGATGGTCCATGCACTGAAGGGTTGAGAGTTTGATTCATGGGCAAAGGCTTGTACCTGACCCTGGTTGGGAGACAACCAATTGATGTGTCTCTCTCATATTGCTATTTCTATCTCTTTCTCCTCTCCATTCCTCTCTGAAATCAATAAAAACATATTATTAAAAAAAAAATTTTAAACATTTTTTATTGCCTGACTGGTGTGGCTCAGAGGTTGAGTGTTAACTTATGAACCAGGAGGTCACAGTTCAATTTCTGGTCAGGGCATAGGCCTGGGCTCTGGGCTTGATTCCCAGTAGGGAACATGCCGGATACAGCCAATCAATGATTCTCTCATCATTGATGTTGCTATCTCTCCTCTCCCTTCATCTCTCAAATCAATAAAAATATATTTTAAATATTTATTTGTAGAAATTATCTACTTGTTGAGTCATTGTTGTCATGCTTTCTTTTAATTCTTTAAGCATGGTTCTCTTTAGTTCTTTGAACATATTTATAATAACTGCTTTGATTTCTTTGTCAGCTAAATCTATCGATAGTATATGGGGACCCTAAAAGAGCCAATTGCTTGCTTTTTTCTTTCCTTATTATGAACCACATTTTTCTGTTTTCTTTTGTATGTTTTATACTTTAAAAAAAATAATTGTACAATTTAGATAATATATTGTAGCAACTCTGGATTCTGATTACATCCTTTCTGCTACTAAATCTTATCATTGCAGATTTTTGTTTAATAACTTACCTAGAATGTATCTGTGAAATCAGTTTGTCCTGTGGCATGTGGCAACAAGTCTATGCCTTACTTATTATTGTTGTTTTTATTTAAAGATGACTTCCAAGGAGTCACCCTTTATACCAGTCAATGATTGGTCAAAAATTGTGCTCAAATACATAGAGCCAGTAATAGGTTTTTTTTTTTGTTTTGTTTTTTGTTTTTTTTTCTCCTGCTGACAGATTTATGTGTAGATTGGGGAAAGCATTCAAAGTTCAGACCATTTTTAAGTGTGCCTAGTTTTTTATGTTTCCCTGAGGCTTATTATGAGTCTAGCCAGGAATATGTGGGTAGTCTGGGATCTGGACCTACAATCTACATTCACTTTGACAGCTTCAGAGTTTTCCTTTGCACTTTTGGGCCTAGGTTTTCTGCTTTTCACTCAGAATCAATTCAGTCCACTTTCTCAGCAAAGCTGCTAGTTTTCATGACCTGTTCTACCCTCAACGAACTACCACACGGACTTAACTTATAGGGTAGGAAGAGTGATGGGAGCTGGCTAAGGAAAGAGTGCCCCAGACCTCTACTACTAGTATTTCCAAGTTCAGTAGATTTTCATGAACAAATATTTTCAGCTTATTGTATGCATTTGGTCAACTTCCAAGAATTTGAGGTGATTGATTTGTTTTTTTAATCATCCCTGGGGGATATGTTTCCACTGATTTTGAGAGAGAGAAAGAGAGAGAGAGAGAGAGAGAGAGAGAGAGAGAGAGAGAGAGAGAGAGAGAGAGAGAAAGATAAAAGAAATATCACTTGGTTGCCTCCCGCATGACTGGTCGGGGATCAAACACACAACCTGGTTGTGTGTCCAGGAAACTGAACCCTCAACCCTTTGGTTCAATGGGCGACGCTCCAACCGAGTCACACTGCCAGGACTGAAGTGATTGTTTTTTTTTAAATATATTTTATTGATTTTGTACAAAGAGGAAGGGAGAGAGATAGAGAGTTAGAAACATCGATGAGAGTCATTGATCAGCTGCCTCTTGCACACCCCCTATTGGGGATATGCCTGCAACCAAGGTACATGCCCTTGCCTGGAATCTAACCCGGGACCTTTCAGTCCTCAAGCCGACACTCTATCCATTGAACCAAACCGGTTTCAGCTGAAGTGATTGTTTTTTGACAGCTTTTTCCCCAGCTATAAATTTGCTTTTGCAGAGAGGATTTGCCAAACTGTTCATTCCATCATGCTGGTAACTTCCTTTACCTCCTTTTGGTGTTTTTAAAAAATGTTTATTTATGCAATTTTTCTAACAAAGACATACAGAATGTTGCATCAAATGCATATTATTTTAAATCCCATTTAAAATTTATTTCTAAGATGCTACATTTCAGTTCCTTTAATGAATATAATTAAACAAAAATTTAATCTTTTCATTGTTACAGATTTCAAGTTCCACCTATAAAGACAGGAATGAGGAATACAGAAGACAGTTCACACAACTACCTGATACAGAGAAGCTGATAGCAGGTAAGAAAGACAGGAATTTGCAAAAAACCACTTTACTATCTCATTATCAAAATAGAACTGATGAGTGACAATACTCTAGAAAATGCCAGCTTTTGTGCTAGACAGAATGTTTTTCAATATAAGCAGTATGTAATTCATAATTATACAATGTAAAACTAAGTCATAATTTGAGGAGGGGTGATCTTTGACTTATAAAAATATTAAATAATGGCTAAGAAAATAGAACTAAAGGAAATGATTTGCACAATTTCTATTGGTGCTTCTTTCAAATGGTTTTGTAAGAAAAATTTAAATTTGATATTCAATATGTATTATATTTCCCCAAATAAAAGATAACTCCTTAACAGGTTGTAGAGAAATTTTATAAAATTTTCTGGGGCTATATCATTATTAGTGTAATGTTTCAGATAGATGTTTTAGGAGCAGATTTTAGTCACTTTTCTTACAAAAGTGCGTTATTTATTTTTATTTCTGAGAGGAAGGGAGAGGAAGAGATAGAAATACCAATGATGAGAGAGAATCATTGATTGGCTGCCTCTTGCATGCATGCCCCACACTGGGGTTCGAGCGAGCAACCTGGGCATGTGCCCTGACCTGCTATCAAACCATGACCTCCTGGTTCATAGGTTAATGAGCCATGCTGGCTGTGCAAGTTTTGCTAGCTTTCAAGATCATTCTTGTAGGAGTGTAAAAGACAGAATAAAGGTTGAAGAGATTGGAGGCTGAATGCTCTGTCAGAGAATGGGTAAGACCTGGTTCTGGAGGGTAAAAGTCTAAGATTAAGGTGCTATCACGGTCACTTTCTGGTGAGAGCTCTCTTCCTGATTTGGGTATGGCCGCCTACTCACTGTGTCCTGCCAAAGCTTTTCCTCTGTGCATATATGCACAGGGAGAGAAAGAGCCATTATTTTTTAATATAAACTTAATATAGATATCCACATATATAAAAGGCTAAGTGTCCATCCATCCGACTGGTAGCTATGATGTTCACTGACCACAAGGGGGCAGATGCTCAACACAAGAGCTGCCATGACACATACTGGCCATTTAAAAATAAACAGCACCTAGGACCTGGCACCAACATACCAACGCGCAGCTTTCCCCAAGTGGGACACAGGCCCCACCACCAACCCGGAGCAACACTCCACCAAATCACAGCTAATGCTGCCAAGACCCCATGGTGCAAAATGAGGCCCATAGCCCAGCCCAGCCTTGAAACGGTTGCTGTGGATGCCAGGTAATGACATCACATAGCAATGCCTGGCTTCCTCCCCCTAGTGACTGGCCTCCTTGCAGTTGCTGGAGCCTAGGAACACAACTTGCTTTATAGCCAGGCACAAACATTTCACACGTTAACCAAATGTCTGTGAAGTGTTTTCCTGTGCCTCATCTCATTTGATCCTCACAGAAGTCCTGGAGTAGGTAGACAAGAGACTTGGTGGAATCTTATTTTCTCTTTATTAGCCAGAAAACAGAGATTTAGAAAGCTTGGAAACTTGACTCCACTGAAAAGAAGTAAGAAATGGTGGACCTTGAAAATGACTTTAGGTTTTCTCACTGCACAGAATATAGTCAAACACTGCTACAGTTAAATATTTTACCCTTTTTTCTCCCTGCGTGATCTACAATAATAATCTGCTTCGTGTTGATATTTACTGCTGTGTTGCTGACAATTACCTGAAAGAGAAGTTGGGGTTCTTCACTGGGCTCGAAAAAGTTTAGCTAAGTCAGAAAGCAGGTCTAATTAAGCAAATTTATCTATATACTAGAGGCCTGGTGCATGACATTCGTGCATATAGGGGGTATCCTTCAACCCAGCCTGCACCCTCTCCAATCTGGGACCCCTCGTAAGATCTCCAACTGCCAGTTTAAGCCCAATCCCATAGGGTCTCAGATCCCACTGTGGCTTTGTCCAGGAAGGAAGTTGGATGTCCGGTCGACCAGGTCTAATTAGCATATTATCCTTTTGTTAGTACAGATATAAAAGGCTTGTATCTGTGATACATGTGTGTTTCAATCTGTCATTGTTAATCTTGAATTTGGGTGACACTTCTATTACAGGGAAAGGGCAAATAGCGATATTAAAATATTTCTTCTAATTAATTTCTTTCTAATGTGCACAAATCCATGCACCAGGATATTAGTTTTACAATAAAAAGATAGAACTATGTTTTAATTTTAGTATATATTTTATTTAACCATTTATCTATTGAACTTTCAGATTTCTGATACTCTTTTGCAGTACTTAGTACAACATAACTGAATTTCTAGATAGCTAAGTACTTTAAAGCCCAGTATTTAAAAAGTCGTAACAATGAACTAAAGCAACTTTTAAGAACATTTAAAAGTAATACATTTTCATAATAAAATGCTTGAATTCTACAAGAGGGCATATAATGAAGGTGAGTGGCCCTTCCAATGAAGATCACTCCAAACTTCTTCCTGGGGGATAACTACTACCTTTAGTAATTTCTTATGTATATTTTCAGAAATTTTCTGTTTATTTTCCCAGAACTTAAATGGGAGCATAGTGTGCTTACTGTTTGAATCTTGTTTAGAGCTCTTTCTATTAGCACTGCTTATGGACCCACTTTATTCTTTTAATGGTTTGATTCCAAGCCCCAGTTGAGGTGTGGCGAGGAGGCAACCAATCAATGTCTCTCTCTCACATCAGTGTTTCTCTCTCCATTTTCCTCCCTTTCTTCCACTTTCTCTCAAAAATCAATGGAAAAAAATGTCCTCGGTGAGAATTAACAACAACAACAACAACAACAATAACAACAACAACGAAACACACAATTCAAAGGATCTGAGAAAATATTCATAAGTTTTCTAAAGAGAATGCTCTGAGAAAAGGGCATGAGACTCCAATACACAAGATGGCTGTTCCCAGGTAGACACAAGATGGCTGCCACAAGATGGCCAGCAGGGGAGGGCAGTTGGGAGGAACCAGGCCTGCAGGGAAGGGAAGTTGTGGGGGACCCAGGCCTGCAAAGGAGGGTAGTTAGTGACCATCAGGCTAGCAGGGGAGCAGTTAGGCATCAATTTGGCTGGTAGGGGAGTGGTTAGAGGGTGATCAGGCTGGCAGGCAGAAATGATTAGGGGCAATCAGGAAGGCAGGCAGGTGAGCAGTTGGGAGCCAGCAGTCCTGGATTGTGAGAGGGATGTCTAAATGCCCGTTTAGGCCCGATACTACTGGGATCAGGCCTAAATGGGCAGTTGGACATTTCTCGAGTGATCCCAGATTGGAGAGGGTGCAGGTTGGACTGAGAGACAAACCGCCCTCCCCCACCCCCCGCCCCATGGACAAATTTCATGTACTGGGCCTCTAGTTGTAAATAAACTGGGGTTGGTATTTTTTGATTGTTCATTGTGAGCATACAGAAATATAATTGTTTTTTGTGCGTTGATAATGTATTCTGCAACCTTGCTGAACTTACTAGTTCTAATAAGTATTTATTGGCTTGCTTAGAAATATATATATACAAGTATATGTATATATGTATGTATATGTATATGTATATGTATATGTCATCTGACAATGGAGGTAGTTTTATTTCTTCATTTTTTACTCTGGATGTATCCTACCTTTATTTTCTTCCCTAATTTCCCTGGCTAGAACCTTCAATCCAATGTTGGCCAGAAAGGACTTCCTTGTCTTATTCCTGACCTAAGGAAGGAAGCGTTAGCCTTTCACCATTAAATATATCAGCTGTTAGCTACTGATATTTCAGGCCAAAGAAATTCCCTGCTCTACCTCCTGGGTCCCTTCTCAGCCCCAATCATGCACTGGTGAGGTCCCTCAGCTTGGCCTGTGCCCTCTTGAAATCTGGGCTGAGCGGACCCCTACGCTGCCCCAAGTGCTCGAATTTTGTGCACCAGCTCTCTACTCTATACTTACAATAGGGTAATATGCAAATTGGTTGGGACACTGTCATGTAATGACCAATCAGCAGGAGGGGGGGGGCAGCAAGCTACCTGTGGTGGAGAGTTACAGGAGGGCAGGGCAGCGAGCTACCTGTGGCCGGAGAGCTATGAGCAGCGGTAGGCGGGGTGGCCAGCTGAAGCAAGCGGCAGTGAGTTACTCACACGGATTCGTGTGCAGAGCCAGTAATATTAAATAATCTTCAGTTAAAATAGTCCGATTGCTTATGATAGCTTTGTACATAGTTAATGTAAAGCAATGCAGTGGTCCTCAGAGTGTGGCATCACCTGGGAGCTTGTTTCACATGCAGTCTCTTCATCCAGCCCAGACATTTAATCAGAAACTCTGGGGGAGGGGCCCAGCAAGCTGTGTTTTAATAAGTCTGCCAGATATTTCTGATGTGAAATTTGAGAAGCGTTAAACAAATAAAAATGTGTCAGTGGCTTAGAAAAAAACTTTAGGACACCTCAAGGTGATCTTTAGTGCAATCTCTGTTTTAGAAATGCATTCTAGTAAATGAGTAACTTAATCTGCTTAATTATTTGCTAGGATTTTTTTGTTTGGTGGCATCTCAAATTTGTTTTGCTGAAGGAAGCATTTTGAAAGAGTGCATTACTTTACTCAATTTTCAGTATTTGCTTAGAATTTTAATGACTAAATTTAAATATTTTGCTGTTTATAACCTCCACAAGTTTTCCTAAAATTGCTAATCACTGTATATATAGTTTAAAAATTTATCAGTTTAACTAAATCTCCTCATAGCAGCCTTTTATATCTTGTATAATTGGTAATTTAGCCAAAGAGTCAGAGCTTAATCTTAGAATCATGGTATTAACTTGTTATAAGCAGTACATTTACCAGTACTCTTGGTTTTTCTGGATTTTAATGCTGGTGTGGAGAGGATCAACTTTAAAAAACAAACTAACACACACACACAACACACACAACACACACACACACACACACACACACACACACACACACTTTTTGGAGTTATCTTTGTTCCCTCCCTCTTTGTCCAATATCTAATTAATCACCGGTTTCCATCAGTACTATCTCTTAATATATATATATATATATATATATATATATATATATATATATATATTTAATATATTTTATTGATTTTTTTACAGAGAGGAAAGGAGAGAGATAGAGAGCTAGAAACATCAATGAGAGAGAGACATCGACCAGCTGCCTCCTACACACCCCCTACCAGGGATATGCCCGCAACTAAGGTATATGCCCTTGACTGGAATCGAACCTGGGACCTTTCAGTCTGCAGGCCGACACTCTATCCACTGAGCCAAACCGGTTTCGGCCCTCTCAATATTTTTTAATCTAACTGCTTCTTTCTCTAATACTGTCATCTTTTGGTCTTGGCCACCGTCAGTTTTCCCTTGGATTTCCAACTAATTTATCTGAATCCACTCTCACATTGAGAACAAAGTGGTTTTTAATAAGATACAACTGATCATGCCCCTTCCACTTAAAACTTGTTAGTGGCTTCTCTTCAAGTCCACAGCTCACCAGGGCCTGAGACACCTTCCCTTGCCTGCCTTCTGTAGGCCCGAGATCTCTCTTTGTATATAGTAGCTTAAATGTGCTGTGCTTCTTACTACCAAGGGACTTGTGTAAATACTGTTTGTTCCCTTGTGGTCTAGCTGACCCTTCATTGATCTTTGGGTCTCAGCTTAAAGATTACTTTTTTTGGAAAACTTTTCCTGATTAACTTTCTACCTGTCCCACTCCCCATACCTATGTAGGCCTTGTTATATTTTTTCATAGCTTTCTTTACACTTTGGTCATTATACTTATAAATTTATTTGTTTATTGTATGCCTTCCCCTCTAGACTGTATGCCATGAGGGCAAGGTCCTTTTCTGGTAACCCTAGTGTATGGTGCACAAAGAATACAAATGAGTAAATGAATGAATGAATGAATGAATGAACGCATGAACTAAGGAATGAAGAGTGATGATTTTCTGTGTACTAAAGTAGTATAAGATTATTAAGTTGCCATATTTTTGTGACTAAACTGTTCCTTATTTGTGTAGATTATGCTTGTGCTCTTCAGAAAGACATTTTGCTTCAGGGACGACTATACCTTTCAGAAAACTGGCTATGTTTCCATAGCAACATCTTCAAATGGGAAACTACAGTAAGACATACTTTGATTTGATTTGTTGATACAAATAATTGCATAGATAGAAATGTGTACAGTTCCCCTAAAAGTAATGTACTTTAAATTCTAAAGTAAAATTTGATATATTTGCATATCTACTGTATATTGTATATACATAAACACAATATGTGTTGTATAAGCGTGCAATATATTTTTCTTAATACTTTGAGCTCCATGTGTACATATATAATATAGTCTAAAAAGTATTTCAGACTGAAAAAAGCTTGAATATACATCCTTTTGACTACCAAAATCATGTCTTATCACAGTCTGAATTGTGTGTGTGTGTGTGTGAGTGTGTGTGTGTGTGTAGAACATGAACATCTACATGTCTTTTCACACTTTATCTTAATGTTAGAGATAGGAGTTGATGCGGGAAATTGCTGAAAGGAAGAATGTCTGACTGCTGACTCTGTTTTTCTCAGAGAAAGCAATCATGCAATTAATATGAACTCCTTTAGGTTTTTCTAGTCTGGATTAGATTGATGTAATACTTCGTTTTTTGTGTTATATATATTATGGAAAAAAAAACATTTTGTAATTTTTTTCTTTTGTGTGTTTAGATTTCTATTGCTTTAAAGAATATAACCTTCATCACCAAGGAGAAAACTGCTCGACTCATCCCGAATGCTATCCAGATCGCTACCGACAATGAAAAGGTAAAAAACTTTTCTGCCTTTGCCTTATTACATAATGTGGAGGACATCTGCCTCATGCTGACCATCAGTGTTAGGCATATAAGCAATTCTTCTTAGGATTATGGATATCTACTAGTAATCAAGATACACCGAATTTCATGCTAGATTTTTGTATACTTAAATACTTATTGATGGTTAGATTATTTTATAGTTTAAAGAAAACTTTAGCCGAAACCGGTTTGGCTCAGCGGTAGAGCGTCTGTCTGCGGACTGAAGGGTCCTGGGTTCAATTTTGGTCAAGGGCATGTACATTGGTTGCGGGCACATCCCCGGTGGGAGGTGTGCAAGAGGCAGCTGGTCGATGTTTCTCTTTCATCGACGTTTCTAGCTCTCTATCTCTCTCCCTTCCTCTCTGTAAAAATCAATAAAATATACGATATTAAAAAAATAAATAAATAAACATGGAGTTCTTGTTTAAAAAAAAAAAAAACTTTATTCCATTTTTATCATTTCTTCATTATAAGAAGTAGATAGATTAAGCATTAGCAAAACATCCTTATTATTTCTAATACATTAATAATTTTATAATTGTTTTTTTATGCATAATAGCAACTAATACAAACAAATGATTCTGGTGAACAGAGGTTTGGGTAGCATACAAATAAACACAATCACTTAAATAATGTTTTAGGATGGCAATTACCTTTTACCGCCATCATTTATATTATCCACCTATAATATCTGCCAATTCTTAGTGGAGATATATGAAGAATCTTTCTATACCCATCTGGAAAATTGATTAGGGCTCTGTGTGTGACATTATAATCTTATTTGGAAAAGATTCTAGCTATGCTCTTGTTACAAAAAGTTTACTTTATGGAGACTATTATATAGCAAGGTTTCAATTTATTAATTAGAAAATTATACTTTAATATTTTTGTGTGAAAAATATAAACACATTAAATATTATTAATTTGATATTTTATTTAATAAATCAAACATAGGACTGAGCTTTCTCATTCCTGGAAGTAAACACTTAATCATAAAAAGTCACAAACTAGGGGAAGAGAAGAGATGACACACTGAGAAACTATATTTAGTGCTGCCACTTGTCAGATGTTTTCATAAGAGCCTGTATTAAAATGTGACCACAAAAATCTTCTTAAATGCATAGGAAGAAATAGGGCTATATGCAAACATAGACTTATAGATTGAAACATTTCTCTTCTACAAAATTCAAAGCAAAGTTTATTGTTAATATGGGTGTTTTATATGTATAATTATCAGATTAGATATTTCTAGATATTTGAGGCTATGAAAGATGATATAATTTTAAAATATATATATATATGTATATATGTATATATATATATATATATATATATATATATATATATATATATATATTATTGATTTCAGAGAGGAAGGGAGAGGGAGAGATAGAAACATCAATGAGGAGAGAGAATCATTGATTGGCTGCTTCCTGCACACCCACACTGGGATGAGCCCACATCCTGGGCATGTGCCCTGACGAGGAATCGAATTGTGACCTCCTGGTTCATAGGTCAATATTCAACCACTGAGCCATGCCAGCCAGGCAAAAGATGGTATAATTTAAAATTAAGATTCTTAAAAATTAATTTATCTCTGTATTTTTTCATATTCTTTGTTTATATTTGTCTCAAATATAAACAAAGAATATGAAAAATCACATCTCTTTGCAAAGTTTAGAATAAATAAAATTTTAATTTTTTTCATAAATTTGTTTAGATTAATTTTCATAGTTAAACTACCATGAATATAAATAGCTACCTATTTCAAGCTCATTTTCCTAGAAAATATTGATAAAATTGTATTTACTGTAAGATACAATGTGAAAGTCCCTTGTCCATGTACTAATTACCTGTTTTTCATCTATTGCAACAAAAAGTTAAAAAGAATATATATAGTAGGCAGTGGTGACTTACTAGTTTGCTTTGACCATAACAAATGCCAACAGAGCTTCATGACAGATACTTTCCCCCTTTTTAAAATGTCACTAAAATTATTCTACTATTTTTATTTTCAGTTTTTCTTTACATCTTTTGGTGCCAGGGATAGAAGTTACCTCAGTATCTTTAGATTGTGGCAGAATGCACTGTTAGACAAGGTAAGTGTTAATGCCAGAGGTAGGTACTTGTTATCATAGCAACCTCCCAGTGTTTACCTAAACAGTGTTTGTGAGTTTAAAAACTCCTTTTCATTTTTCTGGGCTTAATGTTGACTAGACTATTTAAATTGCAAGAAGATACTTGAGGCAAAACAAAATCTGTAGTTACAAGTTAAAATAGTAATTGTAATCCCCAGGGTAACCACCAAGAAAATAACTTTAGAAATAAATAAAAGAAACTTTAAATGACTTTAAATGGTATACTAGCACTATCTATTTAACATATAAGAAGGCAGTAATGGAGAAATAGAAGAGCAAAAAAGACATGACATGGGAAAAATAAAGCTACAGTGTTTATGTTCATTACTAGAGGCCCGGTGTATGAAATTCGTGCACTGGTGGGTGGAGGGTGCGTGGCCCTCAACCTGGCCTGCACCCTCTTGGAGTCTCTGAGTGGGGGATATATCCTTAACGCTGCTGCGGAGGTGGGATAAGCTCCCGGATCGCTCCCCAGCTGTGAGCCCAGCTTCTGGCTGAGCAGCACTCCCCCTGTGGCAGTGCACTGACCACCAGGGGGCAGCTCATCAGTGCGGGTCATAACAACCGGCTGTTCTACCATTGGGCCACAACCAGCTCTCCGACATCCCACGAGGGGTCCCAGATTGTGAGAGGGTACAGGCCAGGCCGAGGGAACCCACCAGTGCATGATTGGGATGGGGAAGGGATGTGAGAGGTTGGCCAGCCTGGGAGGGACCGCAGGAGTGCTCCAGAATGTGTCCAGTCTATATTGCTCAGTTCTTTTTTTTTTTTTTTTAAATATATTTTATTGATTTTTCACAGAGAGGAAAAGAGAGGGATAGAGAGTTAGAAACATCGATGAGAGAGAATCATCGATCAGCTGCCTCTTGCACACCCCCTACTGGGGATGTGTCCGCAACCCTTGACCAGAATCGAACCCGGGACCTTTCAGTCTGTAGGCCGACACTCTATCCACTGAGCCAAACCAGTCCTAGCTGTATTGCTCAGTTCTGATAGGCTGGACCCCATCAGCAACTGGTGTGTCTGTCCCCTGGTGGTCAGTGCACGTCATAGCGACTGGTTGACCAGTTGACTGTCTGCCCCCTGGTGGTCAGTACATGCCATAGTGAGCAATTGAGCGGCCTTAGCATATCATTAGCATATTATGCTTTAATTGGTTGAACAGCCAATTGGACAGCCAGACACTTAGCATATTAAGCTTTTATTACATAGAATGTCCACGAATATAGAAACAAAAATCCTTAGCAAAATGTTAGTAAACCAAATCCAGCAACATCAGTAAAGATTATATTCTAGAACTGAGATTTGTACAAGGTTTATTCAACATATGAAAGTCAATCAATGTAATATACTATAATAGGAGAATAGAGGACATGCCTGGCCAGCATGGCTCAGTGGTTGAGCATTGACCTACAAACCAGGAGATCATGGTTCGATTCCCGGTCAGGGCACATCTTGAGTTGTGGGCATAATGTTTGGCTTAGACAGTTTCTGGGATATAAAGAAAAAGCTAAAGTGACAAAAGAAAAAATAAATTGGACTTAATCAAATAATAAAAAAAACTTTTATGCATGAAGGAGTCCATCAAGATAATGAAAAGATAACTCATGGATTGGGAGAAAATATTTACAAGCTATATATTTGATAAGGTATTTGTATTCAGAATATATAAAGAATTCTTACAACTCAACAAGAAAAAAGATGAGTAACCCATTAAAAAATAGGCAAAGGATTTGAATAGTGATTTCTGCAAAGAAGAAATGGTCAGTAAGCTCATGCAAAGATGCTCAGTGTCATTAGGCAGTAGGGAAACAAATCAAAACCACATTGAGATACCACTTCCCAATCACTGGGATGGCTAAAATAAGAAGACAGACTCTAAGAAATGTTGTTGAGGATGTGGAGAAACTGGAGCCCTCATTGCTGTAAAATTCTTAAAAACCATGAAAAAGAGTTTGGCAATTTTTCACAATGTTAAACACATGAGTTACTATATGACTCCACAATTCCACTTCTAGGTTTATGTGCAAGAGAACTGAAAACATATGTTTGTCAGAAATTTGCACTCAAATGTTCCTATTTATAATAGCCAAAAAATGGAAACATCCAAAATGTCCTTCAACTGATGAATGAATAAACAAAATGTATATTCATCCAACGAAATACCACTCAGTTATAAAAAGGAGTGAAGTACTGATACATGTTATAATGGAGGTGAACCTTGAAACATTATGCTATGTGAACAAAGCTAGCAACAAAGAAAACCTGTAAATTCGTAGAAATTGAAAAAAAAAAAATTGTTGCCCGGGGTAAGGAGGAATGAGGAGTGACTGCTAATGGGTTTGGGTGTCTTTGGGTTGATGAAAATGTTCTAAAATTGGTGGTGATAGCTGTATATGCTAAACTCTGGGTATGCTAAAAGCTTATGAATTTTATGGCAGGTGAATTACAGCTCAGTAGAACTGTTCCATTAGGAAATGGCTTGGGGTGGGGGAAGAGAGATTTCCAGCTGATCTGAAAGGCTCCTTCTTTGCAGCGGGAGCTTAACCTGAGAGGCCCACACTTTCCCTCCTCCCTCCCCCCTCCCGGCCCGGCCCGGCCCGGCCCCTCCGCCAGGGGACCCATTTGTCTCTCCGGCTCTTGGGTTGAGTGACTTTCTAACTTTCTGGCGGTGTCTGGGGACCGGGTCTTCCTACTCAGATGCTTGCTCTCACTTTCCGTGAGAGCGGGGAGCGCAGAGAGTGAGCCTGCAAGTGCAGAGATGGAGAGGAGAGCAGAGAGAAGCCTGTAGAGATGGGGGAGCTTGCCGAATCCTGCTCGTCTTCCCTCCCAGGCTGAAGGGAACCCCCAAATCCAAACTCCCCACCGCCCAGCTCCCCGGAGGCCCAGGCGCAGCCTCCCAGCTTTTGGGCGGTGCTGGGCGCTGCGGGCTGCGGGTGCGGGTGAGGGGACCAGCCGTGCGGGGCCGTACCTGCGGGAACCTGGGCCCCTGATGGAGCCTTCTACCCACCAGGCAGCCCCGCCACGTCCAGGTGTATTGTCACCATTCCTGTGTCCGCTGGAAACCGGTGCTGCCCTGAATCCGGGCTCACCCATCCGCAAAGGCCGCGCTTTCACGGTGCGTGGGAGCCGCCCGGTGCGTCCCTTATCCTAGTGAGGAACCCAGCACTGCGATCTACATTTGCAAGTTCTGTGTCCTCCCAAAATCAGATTTGCGCTAATCACATGAGAGTTAGTTGGGACATATCCTTATGAAAACAAATACTTGCAGGGAAGGCATAAAGGTCAGGTTTACGGATGAGGCACGGGAGAAGGTGCCATCTGAACTTTAATGTAAAGCGGTAAGTCCTTGAGGTGGGAGAAAGGGAATTCCAGGCTACTCCTGAGGGCACCACAGCTGAGCAATCCTGCACCAATGGGCTAGGAGGCAAATATAACCCTCCTGACCGCAGCTCTGTTCTCGATGTGTACCTGAGGAGTATCGCCATTTGTACTACAGTCACACCTTCCAAATCTTTGGGTACTTTGGTTATCTTTAACATTAAATATGCAACTTTTTTTTTATGAGACACTATACTCTTGTTATAATAAACAGAATTGTGACCATTTCTGCTGTATAATAACAAAAATGAATATGTTAAATATATACAGAACTTAATGAAAAGTGAAGGTGAGATCTCAGTTTTAAAACTGTAGAATTCACTCAGAAAAAGAACTAGGAAACAAAAATAAAACTACCCTTCCTTTATTCTCCTAGGGGTCCTTGAACAATTTTTTAACACTAATATTTATTAACAATAATAGCAACTCCCACTTATTTTTAAAAAATATATATTTTATTGATTTTTTACAGAGAGGAAGGGAGAGAGATAGAGAGCTAGAAACATCGATGAGAGAGAAACATCGACCAGCTGCCTCCTGCACACCCCCTATCGGGGATGTGGCCGCAACCCATGTACATGCCCTTGACCCGAATCGAACCTGGGACCACTGAGCCAAACAGGCTTCGGCGCAACTCCCACTTATTATTAAGTACTACCGTAGGTGCCAGGCACAGTTTTAGGTGCTTGGTATAGTCTGAGTATTGTCTGTAATTTTCCAAGTTGCAGTTGTCTTCTAGTTTTTAAAGTGATAAAGCAACATTGGGTTAGACTTCTTGATCTATTATTTAAAAAAGAAAGAAAAGAGCTAAATTTGTGAAGTGCACATCATAACTACACAACTATATAAAATAACATAAGTAATTTAAATAATGCATTTTACATATAATCAAAATATTTTTGGAGAGCTTAAGTTCAGAATATTATATTCATGTATACTTATATTAAGGAATCTGAGAGTACAAGTAAATATGTCTTACTTTGCTTCTTACATGAGAAAGCCTTAAAAACAAAGCAAATTTATCTAGAAAAAGATTACTTAAGTTAAATACAACAAAATGATTTTAAAATTGTGTGTGTGTGTGTGTGTATTTCTCCAATAAAATACATCCCCAATAGGGGGAAAAAGCTGGAGGCAAATATGGTGCATTTGAGAAAGAATGCTTTTAAAGATACCCTTTTTCATTCGTATGATTCCTCTGATGCATTGCTTCAGAAAGGATAGTTTATTTCAGAATCTGAATTAGCTTAACATTAGTCTATTAGGGAGTAGATGTGTTTAAACTGTCACTCTTATCTTTCAAGCAGTAATTTATAGCACTTAAGCTCAGTTCACAGCCTTTAAGTTTAGCACACTTTTACTAGACCTGGAGGCCAGAGAATAGTGGCTGCTCCATTCTTTGATACAAACAATTGGTATTTTGTGTTTTTTACAAAGAGCTGTGCAGCCATAGTTTTAAGAGAATTCTCTAGACCCTTCTCCATCCCACCTCAGCTATTTTGTTTAGTGTAAACCATGTCCCACCTCTATGTTCTGTACCAGAGCCAATGTCTTGCCACATGTCTTTGTATGGTTTGCAA